TTTTTCCCCCTCAGCATAAGAAGAAATACATAACTTTAAATTCCAGTACTATGCAAAGAGAACATGTAAAAATCATGGTACAATGCATCTTCAAATTTGCATTTAAAATCCCGTAGTAGCTGTGTGGCAGATTGAAAGCACTTAGGTGGAAAGTCAAGCAATAATGATTGTCTAAATACAGGCTTTATTTTATCATAGGGTAGAAAAGTGATTTCACGAAATCGTTGCTGCTTAACCTACCACAGTTTACTATCTTCAGACATCATTGCTTCTAACTACTGGCTGGATCAGGACATTAAATTTTTATGCCAAATCCCACAGAAATAACTGTTGCATTTTTGCTCGAGAGTCCACACTGTTCTTTTTATGATCAGCGGGGCAGGCTGCCTTACTGGAATGGACTGTAAGTGTGGAGAAAAACATAAAATGGCTGTATCACTAATCAGGAAGAGATGAAATAGGAGTCTGCCCACAGACATAAAGATATAGTACATTCAAGCTCACTATATTGTATTACCAAGAAACAGCCTTGAGATAGGAAGCATGCTTGCTACATGTACTGTTTTTCATAAGAAAAATAAAAGCAATGGTTGGGAAGTAATTTTTCATTTCCTATAAAGGTGATAATACTTATAGCCTATGACCATCATGTCATTGTCCTAAGTATAGATGCTAGAAAGACTCTTGCACCCGTGCACTTAGAGACATGGAAGAAAGTCCTTGGCAGGTATGTATGTAACAGCAAAACATTTAATCCAAATATCCATCAACCCTATAGTGGATAAATAAAATGAGGCTTATTCATACAATGGGATAATTTGCAGCAATGAAAATAAATAAATGAATTACAAATTCATGTGACTCAGAAATATATGTTGAATGAAAAAAACAAGCAACAAGAGAATACATACAGTATAATTCAATTTATATAAACTTCAGAGACATGCAAACTGTAACAATATATTTGGCAGAGATTCAAACATACGCAATGAAACTATCTAGAAAAGAAAGGCAATGTTAAATTCAAATTGGATAGTAGTTACCTTTGTGGAAAATGAAGGAGATGGGATTAGGGATGATCAACACAAGGACTCAAAAGTAATGATTATGTTCTTTTCTTAAATTGGATGGTGGATGTTTACTGGATCATGTTTTGTTGTATTATACCTTTAGATGTGTCGTATTAACCAATTTTTTAAAATGGTATAATCTATTGATTCTTTTTACTTCCCCAGAATTTGACTTTATAGTCTAAAGCAAAGAGCAGAATAACAGCAATCCATACCAAATTTAGCACTATAATTTGGGGTAGGAATCAACCATCATCCCTTGACATCTAATCTAACAGGTTGACTTTGTAACAATGAATTGCCAATTAATGATTTTTCTGCATAGCAAGCCTTTCAGTCTGTTTGGTTACTACTGATGTTAATAATAGAGGACTGAGAGCACTTCTTCATAAAACCCTGTGTTTAGAAATCTGTTCTTTAGTATTCTCCCTCTCAAACCAAGGAGGCAAGAAACATAGCAAAAGGCAAAACTTCATAAAATCAGTCCTAACACAATCATAATGCTAAAGCGTATAAATGCTGACATTATAAATCATTTCCACTTTTTCAGTCACAGAACTAAGGTGGTGGTGTTCTTCTTTAAGAGTAGGAGAACTAAAGAAGCTTTGGACTATGCACTTTCCCAGGAAGGTAACTTGAAACTCAGAAATAATATATCAGAACTGAGGAGCACTAGAGGGTGGTCAGCATTGGGACACCTAAAGGAACACACTGGAGATATGCCCAACCTAGACTGGGAGTTCAGGATGGGATTTGCAACCTAGACTGGGAGTTCAGGATGGGATTTCCAAGAAAGGAGAATCTCAGCCTGATGCTCAAGAATGAATGGAGTAACTTCTGGTCAAGATGGCGGAATAGGTAAATGCTATGCTTGCCTCCTCTCATGACCACATCAAAATTACCACTAAATTATAGAAAAATCACCCCTGAGAACCACCTGAAGACTAACTAAACAGAAGTCCTATAAATAAGGCTATAAAGAAGTCACAATGAAAATACATAGAGGATGTAGCCTGGGGGAAGAAACTTCCAGGCAGTTACAGAGAGGTGTTCAGTTTGGGGATTTTAAATTTCCCTGCAGAGATCTGCAAAGATAATCTGACTGATATTAGCCTTTGATTCCAGCCTCCCCACCATCACTGTGTCCCGTTCCAGGCACTGGAGACAGCCCAGAGCAGGATTAGGAGTTAGGGCTGTGGAGTCTGAGACTAGGACTGAATCCTTGTCTCTCTCCAGGGCCATACACAGCTCTCATTTAGGATTAAATGTTTAATTACTACTACTAATCTATCCTCTGTTCTGTAGCCACCCTAATCTTTCTAAAATGCAACTCCTGCTTCTCCCCTATCTAAAACTCAACTACTGGATCCTCATTGCCCCAAATCAACAGATTCTTAACTTCTTTTTTTTTTTTTTTTAAAGATTTTTATTGGGGAATTGGGGGGTATGGGAACAGTGCTGGGGAATGGGAACAGACAAGTTGCTGTCGTTTTGTTCTTCAGTCTAGTTGTGGAGGACGTTGCTTCACTGGCCCAAGTTGGCACCATCATTGCGCTCTTCCCGGGTGAGGCAGATCAGTCGCCGGCTTCTGGACGGCCGCTCACTGCGGCTGCTGGCCGCTCACGCTGGCTGCTGGCTACATACGGTAGCCCATGGCAACCAATTGCCACAGGGGCTGCAGCCTACGCCGTCGCCGGCGACTCATGGCAGCCCAGCTCCAGGTTGAGCTGTTGTTCAGCATCTTAGCTGTGGAGGGCAGTGTCACTGGCCCTCATATGTGGGATCCGAACCGGGGCCCTCTGGCATTCCAAGCCAGTTCTTAACCATTGCGCCACTTGGCCGGCCCGATTCTTAACTTCTTAATAGGGCTTTGGTCCCTGTTTGAGTGATCTGGCCCCTGCTTCCCAATCCAGGCTCATCTACAGGGCCTTTCAGCCACATTAGCATATCTGAGTTCCCCAACTCCCCATTCTGTCTCAGCTTTGCCTGAACAGATGTCTCCTTTCCCTTCCTTGCCATAAAACTCCTGTTACTCTTCAGATATTAGCTTGGCAATATAGAATAAGAAACACAATTTTTTTCACACATGTGCACACACATACGTGGAGATATTTTATTAGTTTGTGTAAATTCATCTGTATGATACTCTATACTACCTTAGAATTTAAACTTCTGCAAGTCAGAATCTATATTGTTTTATATATTCTATATATCAGCACAATGTACCTATATAATTAACGTTAAACAATAAGAAACCAATTTATTTTTCTTGGGAGTAATTTTTTAAAAATGTGTAGTTGTTCTAGCATCTATTGGGAAATATTAATAAATGTTATATACACTTTTTTATTATTAGCTATTTCATAGTTTAATATAAACTATGTTCAATACAAAACGTACATTTAACATGGGTGCATTTAACATATGGGTACATGTATATGGGTACATTTTTTTTTTTTAAGATTTTTTTTGGGGGAATTGGAGAAGGAGAACAGCCAAGTTGTTGTCCTTCAATCTTAGTTGTAGAGGGTGCAGCTAGCTCAGCTTCAGGTCCAGTCATGCCACTCAGCTTAAGGTGCTGTGTTAAATTAGTTGCGGGTGGGCATAGCCACCATCCCATGAGGGAGTCAAACCAGAAGCCTCATTGTTAAGAGTGCAGGCTCTATCCACTGAGCCACCAGGGTGGCAGCTCAGCTCAAGGTGCTGAGTTCAGTCTTTAATTGCAGGCAGGTGTAGCCCACCATCAAACAGGCAGTCTTGTTGTTAGGAGCATGTGCTCTCACCAGCTAAGCCATCCTGCCACCTGTTGGCAGCTCAGCGACAGCTCAGTTTGGGCACAGCTCACTGGCCCATATGGGAATTGAACTGGAGACCCTGTTGCTCAGAGGTTGCACTCTTAAGCAAGCTCTTAACCAACTGAGCCACTCGGCCAGCCCTATATGGCTACATTTTATGTTAAATGTACCCGATTGCAAAAAAGCATCAGACTAATAATTACTTAATAATAGATAGCCATTCTGCAATAAAGCAAGACAGAGAGAAGAAGTTTTTCTGACAGTCAACAGTGGGCAACGCAAAAAATCAGATTACAGGGGAACGATGTGAAAGAATTGCCAGTAAACTCAGGAGTTGTTAATCTGTATGGTGTCCTATTTTTTGCTTCAACCAGCAAATCTTCAGCAGGGTGATAAGTGAACCTTTAGACTCCTGGACAAGAGGGCTCCTCTTACCTCAGCATCAAAGCGAGGGTCCTGGTAGGCATCGCTGATGTTCACTGGGAGGCCTGTAGAAGCCACCAGCTCGGCGACGCTGTTATTTATCAGCCAATCAGAGTATGAGGATTTCTCCATGCTTTCTTTGGAACTATCAGAGCAGCAACGCAGGCAGTAAGAAAATAGAGAAACATAAGTTTGCTGGAAAGCAAATCCTATACAACTACACTCACAGCAGGATTATCTATCCTCATTAAGAAGAGATAAGTAACTTTAGTCACAGACCAATTGCGAGCTAATTATCAGTAGCTATTTCAAAAAGACTTACCTGCTATAGTGTAAAATAATCAAATACATAGGTAGAAATGATAAATTCTCTATGATCCAGAGAACAAGTCTAGGTTGTATATAGGCCCAAAGCAGGCAGATACAAAGTAGATAATCGGAGTTGACAATAGCATGTAAATGCAGTGGCATAATAAATTCCACTGACCTCCCCAGCCCACCCCCCATAACTGAGCAGACGAGATGTTTGGCACCAAGAATAATTAAACACAAGAATGAGGAAAAATCAGAAAATGAATCAAGAATTTACAAAATTTTAAATGCAGCAAAAGAGTACATCTAGATGATGTGTAATCTTAGAATTATGTTAACTGTTTTTGTAGTCTCAGAGCATGTTTCTTAAGAACAAAAAAACCCCAAAACATTTTCTACTTACAAAATCTCACTAGAAAACCTGTTTCATCTCTACTGACCCCTCACATTACTAATTCAAATTATATTCATATTTGATTGAACAAGGAATTATATGCTAAATGATTTTGTGAATTTTCCATTGTATCACTTTCACTACAAATATCAGATTTACAGAAGTGTTGTAAGAATTGGTAAGATTCCCTACTCCTTCCCTCCCTTCCATTGTTTCTGCCCTAGGTACATACTGAGCACTGCCAGCTGTGTAAATGAGTACTGTTCAAATTAGCAATATCAAGGTAAATTTTCATGGAGGACATTAGATTTGTGGCTTAGCAGGCAGTAACCGAAATTATGTAAATGAATGCAAGCATACTAGGGCAATGTTTTCCAAAATACACTCTGTGGAACCCTGGATTCCAGGAGATGTTGTTAATAAGTGTACTACAGCAATAAAAATAACAACAACGCTACTGACTTTTTAATCCACACTGCATTATATGTAAGAAAAACACTAACCACTGTACATAGTCATTATTGTTATGCAATAATGTGTCTGTGTGGAATTTGTGCCCCACTGAGAATGCCAGGCACTGGCGTGGAGAGGCCATCAGATGCATTCATGAGTGGGAAGCATAGGCATTATTTGCCATCATTAATGTATCTCATTTGTAATGATCGCTGGTCTGTATCTGATAAATTCTACATATATCAGTGGTGTTATTCATCCTTTATTGCATATTAAACATTACTAGTACATAAACTTATTCTCTATGTATCACTGCCTGAAAAATGGAAGTTTTAATAAAAAGCTGAGTCTTGTCTTTCTCAGATGGTGTCTAAATCAAAGAAGTAAAAAGACCGAGGACTTCCAAGATAAGATGAAGCTTTTATTTCCTGAAAAAAAGAAAAAAGTAACAACAAAAATGTCCATGTTTCATTTTCTCTTTGCTATATTATACCTGTGACAAGTGGAATTTTATGTGGTGTGGCAATGAAAGCAAAATGGAGGAAGAAACGTGAGAAGCACCTGATATGAGCATCCAACTTAATGGAGTAATTTCTAAGTTTATAAAAGCGTGAGATTGAATGTTGATCATGTCTTGCAGCAACAAATTGGTCTGTCAGTTCACTCTGTGCTGTCTGTGTACTTCATTCCATACGACAATTTTTGAAAAGTGCTCTGTGATAAAATAGTGTGAAAAATGCTGACCTAGTGTGTAGGTGGGAGGAAGGACTGCAGCGGGACCCTGGGGACGAGCCAGGGAAGGAGCTTGAGAAAGCGTTTGGGTAGAGGGAGGCAGAGGGCCTCCAAAGGGGGATCAAAGAAGGAACCAGTTTTATCAACAAGTGTCAAAAGCTTTTAAGGGCCAGCCGAGTGGTGCATTGGTTAAGAGCTGGTTNCTGTACAGTCTTCTCTGCCAAATGCTACTCTCCAGAAAGAATCTCAAATTGGTTTACCCTAAGTATTGGCAACTGAGAGATTACCAGCAGCAAATGCACTTCGGCAGATCCACAGAGCTCTAACTTTTAATGGTTTCAATTTTGCACATTCTTCTTTGTAATGGAAGCATAACTGATCGACCAGAAGGCATTATGGAGAAAAGACAATGAATTGTCCTGCCAGGCTAGCACTCAGCATCCCAGATTGCAGGATTGTTTTGCTATTAAGATCTGACAAGTGAAATGGGCTCTAATGCTCTACATCAAAGGATCTCAGAGCCTGGAACCCTATTATCCTTAAGTGCTACATGACAAAGATAAGAATTATTGAGTTGTCCATAACAGGCTTTAATTAAAAAAAAATAATCAGAGAAAGAACTTCATATGAAAGAATAGCATGGGATTAAAGAATGACAGATTTAGGATTAGGAAACCTTAGGTTTAACTGTAACTCTGACCATCGGCCTCCCATGGCAGAGGAGATCTGGGTGCTGATGGATTTCCCACCACTCCTGAATTTGTAACAAATACATAGATCACCAAACCATCAATGTGGCCTGCCCTCTTCTTTGTTATTTTCTGTATTCCCCTTGCTGAACTTTCCCAATTTAAATGTTGGGTCCAATTGTTTGTCCTGTTACAGCCAGAAAACAAACCTTGCATGTAATGGCTCCGAAGTTCTCCCCATAACTATACACATGGAAGGAAATATTAAATCAAGTGAAGAATTTTATACCTTAAGTTGACTAAATAATGGCTTGTTGTGCATTAGTGTATTTGTTTTAAGGTGTTCTTTTGAATCTAGTTGAAAAGAAGGGCAGAGGGCTGGCCTAGCGGCTCAGTTGGTTAAGAGCTCACTCAAGAGTGCAAGCTCTGAACAACAGCGGTTC